TCTATTATTTCATTTCTTCACAGCACAGCTAAATATAAAATCGAATCATGTCAACAAGTACTATGTAACGCCATTCAACGACAACGAACGAATATGAACTGTTAGCTTAAACGGGCTTCGTTTAGAATCACAGAATATATAGTTGCCTAGAGTACGAAGGCAAAGTTTTGAACGTTGAAATTTTTGAACAGTTTTTATAAGGCACTATAAGATTATAAGAATATTATAAGAAAATTATAAAACTAAAATCTTACTTAAACCTTATTCGATTCTTATAAGAATCCTATAGTTACAGTATGCATTTCTCGTGACTGGAGCATATAAGATTTTTGTAAGATTTTTATAGGATTCTCATCTGATTTCCGTAATTTCGGTCGCCTAGGACGGTTGGTAACCCGGGACCCAAAATATTTTCTTTTATTAAAATTGTGACTGATTCAAATTTTGTGACGGAAGACCATTTATACAGAGAAGAAGTGTCTTTCAGCACTGCTGAAAAACAGCAGGTGTATTAAACGAGTGCTGGAAGACATTTGAGTATACCCCAGCAGCGCCTGAATACCTTTGGTGAAATAAATTTGGCTCTAATACTAAGATTGACGGTTGATATCAACTAACCAACATTTACTGCCTGCACTGCATATAAAAAGTGCCCTAAGTGCGCCACAGTCAACCTGAAAACAAAAACAAAGCACTTTCATGTGCTCTAAACGTCACCAAAGGGCACTTTTTTTTCACAGTGTGTGTCCACCAAGGTGGCATCGTAAATGTTCTATTGCACCAGTGCTGCACAAAACAGCCTGCTGAAGGACACTTGACTACACGGTCAATTCTCCTCGTATTTTCTGTTTGAACACTGTCCAATTGGTGTTCAGGCACTGCTGGAAAACACTCAGATGTCTTTCAGCACTGCTTTAATACACCTGCTGTATTTCAGCAGTGCTGAAGGACACTTCTTCTCTGCTGTACAAATGGTCTTCCGTCACACAACTTTAATAAATAACAATTTTAATAGCAGAATATATTTTTGGGTCGGCTTCTACATGTTTCACACGAAGCTGCATAAGATGTTTTGGTTTCTTCATAAAACTGGAAGAAATATGAGTACCCAGGTCGAATGATACGGTCTACTGGACGCAGGAATACGGACCGTAACATCATTAAAATAGGGCCGTATACGGCCGTATTTTCACAATATACAGCCCGTAAACGGTACCGTTTCTGGGCACAGTAATACGGGATCATATACTGTGAAAATACGGCCGTATACGGCCCTATTTTAATGATGTTACGATCCGTATTCCTGTGTCCAGTAGACGGTCCGTAACGGATATCCGTTTTGCTCGATCTGGGTAAACAAATTGAATACATGGAGACACCGCGTTATGACAGCATTTACGGAGATATATCAGCAAAAAAGCTTGTCAGCGTCGCTTCTATGAAGCAAAAATGTGGAAACTTCCTACTGCACTATTGGAGTATAACATAGAACATATATAACATACTAATAATATATCGTAATAATTTTTAAAATTTGTGTCTAAAAACATCAAATGCACTATCTGTTACTAGTCCATTCAGTAGCTGTAAACACCAAATTTATATTGAAATTTGGCCAGTCACAATTCACCCCGAAAGTTTACAGCTACTGAAATAGCGTTTACACCTACTGAAATGTGTGTTTACAGCTACCGATAAGAAACCCTCGGGAAACCACAAAAATCCTCGTATATAAACTTTATACTTGAAACTTCTTATTCCTTCGGAAAACGGACAAGTCCTAGGAAGTGTTCACAAAATAGTAAATGTAAAGGCGTTTTTCTTAAATAAAAAAACCCGTTCCATTTTAACCCGTTCTGCAGTATAAAAAAACGAAACAAAACGTGTTTTTAGTTTTCTCGCTTTGCTGAGACAAGTCATCTAGAAAATTTGGCAATGGGTAACAACCGTCGCATTGAGAAAAAGATTTTAAAAGTAAAGATATATTAACTCCGTTTGTCTAATACTACATAGCCTTGAGCTTTGTCGTACTATCGCTTGTGGCATTATATGCTTCCTTCTGCGCTAGTATCAATGCGTTTTTCTGATCTTTTTCAGCAAAACGCATTGATACTAGCGCTGCGGTTCGCAACCCTGGTCAGAATCCAACCTAAAAGGTTTTTATTGAAACAAGCATTTTGTTTTCGAGCAACGCTCGAATGTATGATGCTGATAAACTGCGTTATAACCGCTCCCCCTTATAGCGTAGCACTCCATTTTTGTATTTGTTTTAAGGCAATGAAATTTAAGAAGTCGCACTAAAATTTGGCCAAAATCGTTTTTAAATGTCTGCTATAGTTCAATTTCAGCTTCTTTAAAAGAAAGTGGTAGCAGTTCTTGCCGCCACTCTCTCGAAGTGGCAATAGCTGCTGCTACCACTTCCAGAAAGTCGCAAAAGAACCATCCTTTTCAAATTCCATAAATATATCATTCATAAGTATAAGTATTAAGACACATTTTCTAACAAAATAGTTTGCAGTAAGCCTGTTTAAGGCTAAAAATTCTTTTCTTTTCGCCACCAGGAATCATGACTGTCTGATACTCTTTCTTATTATTTTTTATCGACATCAATTCAAGGTCCATTTTTCAAAGGTAGATCGATCACCTGAAAATCAACACATAATTGGTATAAAACGTTTTCTGATACCGATTGCTATTGAATAACTACGTTTGTTCTATTTTTCAAATGCGGCATTTGAATACAATCATAATGAAAAAGGTTTTGTGGTTTTTTTAGTTCCGCGCTCTCTTGTCTATTCTATTGTTTCTTCATAGCTTAGCGTTGAAAGCAGCAGTGATTTCAGTCGTCGTTAAAGTCGATCGTAGATAGATACTTTTTGTGTCACAACTTCAGGCAGAAAAGGTTTATGTAAATTCAATCTTATCATATAGGATAATAATTTATTTTCTTAACCAAACGACATCGTGTAAAGACTTTGAGTAACTCTAAAATTCATCTACATTCATGCCTGTTGTATATGATGAACGGAAAATCAATCTTAAAACACTGCATTATTTCAATTTTTTATTTTCTGTTCTCTTTTTAAGTAAAACGTAAATGAAGAAGAATGATGTGAACATAATGCAGAAAAATCGGAGAACACACATTATTTTCAATGCTTAACCATAAATTACTTCCAATGTGCGCAAGTTCAATATTCATTCCTTCAAGCGTTGTTCACACCGGTGATTACTGCCATCTTTTGCTCAGTTGTCATGCAGTACTGATATTGTATTTACCAGCCAATCAGAGATGATTTTCGAATAATTGTACTCTTGTTATTTCTCATTTCCTTATGTCAAACATTCCAGCAGCCGAGTTTATTTAGAGCATAATAGATAGTTGTTGTTGTTTATTTCGAAGAACTAGCCAGCATAACAGATAGTTGATAATAACCATTACTCTCAAAGTTGTCGAGCTTGACTTTGTCTTCACAAATTAAGAAGAAGGAAATCAGGATAGAAACTTTTTAATATACGATCGCCTTTGGTTAATTTTTGTCTCGCATTTTTCAATATCTTTTGCTTTATAGATGAATAATCATTCTCACCACGAACCGTCGCGTCAGCGACCACCTCATCAAGAATCGAAAATGTTAACCAAATCAGAAAATCAAGATTTACATAATATACTTGGGCAAAATCGAGTGGTATGTTTATGACACAGTAATAGTGAAGCACAGAATTTTTGCCACCGATTTTTCTCACCTCGTCTTTTCTAGACATTAGCAACAGCTGTAGTTCAAATTCTATTACCAGAACAACCCCATCAAACTCGGTGGCTTAAGCATGCATGTGGTGTATTTTGTTTTGTGAAAGATTATGATCAACGAACGTATTGTTTTCGATTATATGATTTGAAAGTACATTTAAGAGTTTATATTTACAACGCATATTTGATTTAATCTGTTTATTTCATTTCAGCAAAGACGTCATATTTATGAAGAAATTGTAGCTGCTTCACTTCATTTAGAGAAAAAACTACCGTTCTTTTTTTGGTTTGATGGATCGGTATGCATTTGTGTTCTTTCGCAACGTAAACTAGTGTATGTTGTTTTGTTTTCTAGAATTCAAAAGTTGGTATTAATTTTGCAAATGAAGACGAAGCTGGATTATTTTTTCAACATTTTCAATCAAAACAGCAAGATCGACAGAGTAACACATGAATAAATATCATCATCAATAACGTTTTTTCCTGTTATATGATTTAGAAAAGAAAAAACACCCTGCTCCTACTAAATCACCGCCACCATCTCAAATCCATCAACAACAGCATCCATACATTGCACCACAACCATCACCATTCCCCACACCGTCCACAAATATTATAACTGGACCAAAAGTTTCAAATAATCAGCCATCTATAAACGCTACATTATCTAAAAGTAACATTCTTCTTGACTTTATCAGACAGATGACAATGTTTCAAGTACTTCTATTTTTAGAACAACAGTCAACAAAATCATTTTTTAGTACACTAAGTCGAAGAAATAAATACGTTAGACCAGATATATCGGAGCCGGTCATGTCTTCGTACGTATCGATTTGTCTATTTTTGTTATGTTAAACGGGTTTGAGTGGCAGGATTAAGTTTTATTTTGAGCATAGGTCTTCGAAAGACAGGCAATTCTTAAAAAAGAGGGTCTAGTTTTCACTTTTTCATTAAAACTATTTTTCTTCAAGTTTTGCACACGTCGGACACGTTGGTATTAATGCAAACGACGTGAGTTAATATTTTATCTTGGTTTCTTCTCTCATTTAAAACTGGATAAAACTTTGTTTTATTGTAGTCGTTTTTTCACAATGAAGAACAAGCTCAACTATTTGAAACATTTATACATGGCATCGAGAAATCTATGCCCGGCATCACAGCCGAAGAGAAAAAAGCAATTAAAGAATATATTGATGCCAAGGGGGGAATAGAACAGCTTACAAGTGCATTTGTTGACAGAATTTTGTGACTTATTAATTATCGTATACTTCTATTTTAGAGCTCCAACCGTCAATACGTGATTTAAATACTCAATCAAATACAACTGGACGTCAACCGAATCGTCAAAATCAGCAATCCGGTGCTCCTGATATTCCACCAAGAATCCAAACTGTTCGTAATGAATCATCTTCATCAGCTGATGCTAGACACGCACGGTTGCCATTATCTGATATGTTCAATCCTCCACAACAAGCAGCTCCAGACATACCACCGAGGCCTGGACGCCAACCAGTAGCAACAAGTGCATCGCCACAAAAGCATCATATTGCGCCAAATATACCACCGCCGCCACCACCTCCTCCACCACCACCTTTCTTTCACACAAATGTGGGAACAACACAGTCGAACCATGACGTTTCGTCATCAATGAATAATGGCGCAAGGTTTGGATCAATTTTTTTGCTTTTGATGGAGAACAATCCTTTATTTTTTGCAGTGCAAATTTACAAAGAACTTCTAAGCATCTTTCAGAATGAAAAATGAATAAACACTTTTTTCTATTGTGATACTTTATATATTTGTTTTAGTAACCAATTCGGTCGCGCGCCTAATCAAGCACCGCCGTAAGTAAATTCATTTTATTTTGATAAAAATTAAGCAAACTTGTTACATCAGTTTTTCGTCTCAATTAGGCCACCACCGCCATTGAATCCGCCCCAATTTTTTTCTAATAATCAGTCGAATAGTGGAGTGCCCGCTCCTCCACCGCCGCCCCCGCCCCCCCCCCACCACCAATGTTTTCTTCAAATACTTCATCTTCGATTACCACAACGACCGAGAGAACGTCGACAAATACTCGTAAACCAGACGATCGCTCTTCATTCCTAGCTGATATACAAAGCTTTGATAAAAAAAAATTACAAGTAAGAGAAAGAAAATTACTATTAAGGTATATATGAATCTTACATTTTATCGTTTTTCAGAGAGCAGCAGAACAGCAAGCAGCTCAAGCAGCTGCATCATCTACTGATAAACGATCGAATTTGCATCCAACATCAACAGCTTCTTCCGTTGATGCCGGAGGTCCGGATGCGTTAACAAATGGCATTTTGCAACTACTTGCCGAAAGAAGAAAACAAATAAGTAAGTTTGGGGAAAAAGACATTCTTATCGTTCACAATATTTTTCTTGTATTTAGTGCCAGCCGAGGAAGATGAAGCTGAAAGTGAAGATGAAGATTGGACATAAGGTCTTTTTCTTTTCAATTCAAAACGCACTATGTTCTTGTAGTTTTTCATTATTAAAATTATCATTCCACTATCTATATCGTTTTTGTACACCTGGTTTTTGATATAAATAAGAAAAGGATGTATAGAAAAATTTCTCTATTTAATTCACTTCTTCTAATCTCTTATTAATTATTAAATAATGTGTGTACATGAGTGAGTGGAATAGTATGATCTATTTTTTTTCTTGTTCTTATTAAGTCGATAATATTTGTTCTTTTTTTTTGTGTAATTAAACATTGTTTTTTCTTTCTGTTCAAATCTGTGCTATCATGTACTTGTTATATATATCATGGTTTGTTTGTTGATCATATTAAATAATTCTCCTTTTTTTCCTTCTATTGCTACCGCTGCTATACTATTAATATTGCGGCTGCTCTTCATATTTTTTATTTTCCGATATTTTTGGTGCAAAATAAAAGAACAGTGAAAGAAAAACAATGAAAATAATAGTAATTTTATTCTAGGAAGAGAGTAATGTGTATTTAGTAGGACTATTTAAAAATATGGATAACTTTATCGACAGAAAATAACAAGCTCACAGAAAACAATAAGTAAATACTCTAGGCTTTTGCTTATTATCATGGACGTGTTGTCTGCTTTGTATCAACATTTGGTATACATTGGTTTTTTTTAGGAAAGGCCATTTTCTCTAATTGATAGGCAAACGTACAAGCAGTTCAATTAAATTTGTTATTTCTCATTGATTAAACCATACTGAGCTACTCATTGATTAAACCCAAAACGACAACATACGCACGCATCTTCAATTTACGTACTTATTCTGAAATTCTTCAAACAGATAATCGCATTAAAAAGAGGAAAAACTTTTATTTTATAGTTTTGTTCTGACTATTCACTGCACCGGCTATAGTGACATTGATGCACTTCAAACTTCAGTGTGGGAAACTCAAATTTATTGGATGAACTTCTCAATCCGAGCTCAGAAGATAAAAGATTCTACTTCCAAAAAGTATTTCTTTCCGTCAAGAATCGTTACAGACATATTCGCTGAGTCTGTTACATTCTGGTGCAAAAGTATAGCTGTCAGGTCTGAAATACTTTTTGAAAATAGAATCTTTCATCTTTTGAACCCGGATTGAGAAGTTCATCTAAAAAATTTGAGTTTTCCACATTGAAGTTTGAAGTGCATCAATGTCACTATAGCAGATGCAATGAATATTCAAAACACACTATTAAACGTATTAATGTGTTTATTTGAATTTATCTCAATTAAAATTTTAAAGAAATAAAAAAGGATAAAATCAGAAAAGATCTCGGGAAATTAGCAGAATGGATCTCGAAAGGAAAAAACGACAGACACGATTTCAGAAAAATGTCAGTTAAGCATTTCTGTATAAAAGATCTCAAAAAAAATTTAATTTAATTTTTTATTCTACAGAAAAAAAATTTAATTTAAATTTTGCGGAAAAATAAATTTATCTATTTATGCAGAAAAGATCTCAGAATAATGAATAATCTAGAAGGAAAACATATGCATAAAGGACAGTATATGAAGTTATAACATTTTCAACTTCATTCTAACTGTAAATTTAAAAGTGTTACGTCGTACGTGGAATGAAATCCTCATACGCGACAATGAAAGCGATTTATCAGCTTTCATTAAAGATCCATATGTTTGTGTTTATCGAAAGGAAACATGTAATACCGGCACATCGATTACATATAAATGTTTAAAATACAAAAAGTGTGTCAGTTTCACTTGAAAGCAAAAGAAAGTTCAGATGAGTATCAAGTCTATTCGTCGGAAGTGCATAATCATCATACACGCGTTCAGACAAGTTATCTATAATATATGCGAGTGTGAGAACTTTTGCTATTAATTAATTAATTATTCCAAGATCTTTTCTGCAGAATAAAAAATTAAATTAAATTTTTCGAGATCTTTTATCCAGAAATGCTTAACTGACATTTTTCCGAGATCATTTCTGTCTTTTTTTCCTTCCGAGGTCCATTCTGCTAATTTTCCAAGATCTTTTATTTTCACGTCTAATAACAAAACTATCGGACATTGTAGCTCACAAATGTAATAGATATAATATACTCATGTGGGTTCAATCCAGAAAATCAGACATGTTTGAAATACCCTAGGTGTACAGCATTAAGAGCAACGTGATTCTGCGTTGCATTGACGCTAGGGCCCAGGTAAAATATAACTGTCATTTAATAAGTCATGCAATGCGTCTCAAATGTATGCCAAAAAAACTGGCTTTTAACACCCGAATAATTGTTAAAAAACTGCCACGTAACAGTCAGTTTATTGTCTGTTATGCGATTGTTGATAAAGGCTCGAGAAAAGGCATTTAACATACCACAAAATGTTGAAAACAAGACAGTTAACAGTCACTGTTTACTGGGGAATAACCACCCCCAAACCTGGCCTCAAATTATGCCAGTTTTTAGAGTACGTTGAGTACTATGTATCTTCAAGAAATTTCGACGGTCCTATGAATATTGGTGAAATTATGAATTTTTTAACGTTGGCCTTTGATCAAAATTTTCGGTCTAACGCTGGTTTTCGATATCTCAAAAGTTATTCAGGAATAATGACAAAAATTTGGTTCAAGTATATTTAGACGCACAATTATTCATAGTTATTATGTATGTAAAAAAGGAAGAAAAAATTTCTATCTAATAGACTTGTCATAAATTCTTTCTCTAAAACTGATGCCAGTTCAATGTAATCTGATCGTTATTTTTTTCTTCAATCCATTTTGCTCAAATATAACGAATCATATATCATTCGAATCAGCTGTTCAAGCACTACAAAATTCTGTATTTTGCTTTTTAATTTGTTATGGATGTGGGGATTTTCGAGATTTTTTCATATGAATTTGCTGGCTTTTATATGAATTAAAAGCCCATATATTATTAAAAAAAGAATGCTGTTGGCTATTTCTTTAATAACTTTTGAACAATGCGCTTTGAAGACTTGCGATTTTCAGCTTTGCATAGAGGAGATAATTAGCTACTAGTTGACATAAAAAAATCTCAGAAAATTTCTCGAAGCTCCAGCATCGATATTTCCTTAGGCGTGGTCATCTCGAAAATGAATGAAAACATGGATTATCCATCACGCTGAGTCTCGTGGCAATGTTTGTTTTTCGAAAAAAAATTAAAAAATCGTTTTGAAAAGTTTTCGCTGACAAATTTGTTGAGGATAATCTTCTTCATACCCTAAGCAGAGCAATTTTTTCATTTTAGTGGGAAATTTTTGAAATGAATGCAATTTACAAATTGCATTCGAATTTCTGATAGAATTTCGAATTTTTTCCAAATTCTATTAGAAATTCGACAATATTGTCGAATATCCAGAATTATCGAAATTCTTGCGGAATTACTGCAGTAATAATTTTTACTGAGAATTTTATTGCCCTTTTTCCAACGGAATGTGGATAATATGCGGAATGGTGAGGATTGTAATAAATCAGTTGTATCTCAATTGATATGATGTTACACGTCTACGTTCTTTACATACGCGCATCTATTAATTCAAAACACAGAAATTTGTATTTCTACTATACACTACGGTTCCAATTAGTGTATATATTGTCCATATTCTTGTGGAAACTGGACAATAATATAACCAGCAAAAATATTTTCACAATTTTCAAAACGTTTTAGAAGCGCGTTTACAATATGAAAATAGTACGCTAAAAGTGTGCTCCAAGCCACTCAATATGTAATATGTATCAGAGATGGTCGAGCACACTGTTTTTCGAGTACAAGTACCCAGTATTTTAGACTAGGCACGAATATGACTATGAGTATAAAAGATTTTTACTCGAGTATAAGAGATATTTCAAAAAAACAAAGTCATTTTATTTTTCAGCAAGGAGTTTTGTGAGATTTGAACACTTGTTCCTAACGCTTTTTTTTTTCTTTCATACCATGAAGTTTTAAAAGAAATCCTATATTTTTTAGGAAATGTATTAGGAGCTTTATCAACATTTTTAAAATCAAGTACTCGAATATTTCTCCGTATAATTCAAAACTAAAATCGCCAGTACGAATACCCCAAAATCTGTACTTAAGTACGAGTGAATACTCGTCCATCTTTGATATGTATATCTCCAGATCCACAATTCGGCAAAATCAAGCATATTTTATCAGATGGAAGTCATGTTATATTTATCTATTATGAACGTGCGTTTCAGACTGTTAAAACAAACCGAATCAGTTCCCATTTTGTAAAATCATTTAGAACATACGTGGCCGATAAAAATTATATTAGCTATTAACTCTATATGGATTCTACTCCATCCATATGGCCTCATCTCTGCCACTATAAGTGTACTGACAATACACTTTAAGTGTGCTGTCGATTCTAAAGTGTGTCCGAAGAACACTTTTTGCTAAAAGGTAGAATTGAATTACAAACAAAAAGCACACTTAAAGTGTTTCTTTTTATTACTCAAACGTGTCAAAAGCACGGAAAAAGTGTCCTGTTTCTCTCGTATTGGAGATTGAAGGTTGGACTTATAATGGCACGCTTCGTACATGATTTTTGAACACTTTTATCGTGCGTTTCCGTGATAGTGTAATCATAAAAAATTTACTATCAGATTTGCAGATAAACTAATAATGATTTGCCATTTTCAAATGTCATTGTAGTGCAAAAATTGCCTGATAGTTTTTTGGTAAAGGTTAAGTGTCAAACTTGCTATAGAGAAACGAAACAAAGACTAGCCTTATTAGACAGATAGGAACAAATAAAATTTCTCCATAGTTTATCAAGCCTGTCCAAAACCGAAAATCTGCTAGTAGTAATTTTGCTGATGTCAGTTTTAGGAGCGACGTGCATTAGTACGCTGAAATTCACAACCAATTATAAGTGACCTGGCTTCGTTTTGTTACGGCGACTACTGAGTCCTTTTCTTCCCTGATATTTATGTAATATGTAAAATCTCGGAAGAAATAGACAGCAAGAAATATGTTCCCATTTAGTGCGTGTTTCGTGTCCTTCGGAATAGTGCATGAAATAAGCACTATCTGTTCATATACCATTTGTATGTTTGGACCCTCAAAAACTCGAAGCTTTTTTTAACCTGAGATCTAATTATTTGTTTCAATTTGCGTTTTTAACCCTAATGAACATTGTGTTTCTGTAGAATGAGGCAACCAAATATCTTTTTTAGACGAACTTACACTTTATTGTTACTTATCTTCTTGAAGTAGGTGTTGAAAATGAACACGTTATCTCTCAAGTTTTATTTTAAAGTGCATGAAGTAATTGTCTGATCGTATATGGTATATTTAATCCATCGAGTTTTCTATGCAAATTTTCAAAATCACATCTTTCTAGGATATCTTTATGAAAATCATCTGAATCTTGTGTACTTGTTTTCTGTTCGTTGTATAACAAACGTCCGCATAACGCAGTAATACCCGCAAATACATCAAATGTTACTTCTGTTTCTTCTCGTACACCAATTAATTTCAATAGTTTATTCCAGTGATCTTGATTGAAACTATTCGCGTGTATCTCCATAATCGCATTGTAAAGATTGCTGACTTCTACTCGATAATTATTGTTACAAAATTTATCAAATATTCGACGGAATAAATATTGTCGTCGTGATGATAAACGACAATATCGACTCAAGTATTCAGTTGGTTTTAATTTTTCTAATTGTTTCAAATCATAAGGTAGTTCAAATCGACAACCCTAAAAACAACAAATTTTCATTATCTTATAAACGTCATCACTCAAAGAATCGTTTTATCGTAATTCGTTTAGCAGAGCTTAGTCTAACTTTGTGACATGTGTGCTTGTTTTCTGAAAGACGATGCAAAAGTAAAACTGTCAAACGTACTATTCTGTTATGTCTGTTGAAGTTTTAGTGCAGTTCTTTCTTTTGATCATTATTGCAACAATTAATCCTTTTTGTATGTTGTTCTAGATATAGATTTTCATAAAATGAATTTAATATTTTAATAATTAGACGACTTTATTGTTAACTAGTCGCATATGAACGTCTACTCATGTAGAATAGTAGTTTACTGTTAGACTTACGCTATTAGTAACGTGGTTCATCCAGGAGATTTACAGAACGACAGTTTTTGTTTTTCCGACGTACAGAAATAGTCTTACTTGTTGTGATAGTGCCGTTTGTCCCAAAAGTAATGGATTTGTTCCTTGTTTGATTTTCTCTAATAAATCCGTTATTCCGTTATCATTTTTCATCATTACGTTTTCTTCGTCATCTACATTATCTCGACTATTTTTAGATTTATCGTTCAAACCATGTTCGAATATTACCATATCATTTAGTGTTTCACTATTTTTATCAAAAGCGCTTGTTTTTGTTCGTTTGTTCGGTAATGGTAGTTTTTTTATTAGTTTTGTGTTATGAACAGTACCAATTTCGTCATCATCTTTTTTTTCTTTTATACCTTGTTCTTGCGACTGTTGTTGCATTGATTCTACTATTAACTCTTCCGGTTGTTTTGCAATAACTGTTAGTTCTGTCTCAACGAGTTGTGAATTTGTTGATGATTTCAGTAGTTTACTGGTACTCGATGATACAGACAATCTTCGTCTAATAACGGTGGACGAAGATGGCGAAGATTTTTGATGTACTGTTATCGTAGATTTCGCTTGAGAATTGATAACAGACGATGTCGGTGTAGTTTTTGGTTCGTTATAATTTCTGATAAACATTGCTTCTTTTACAATATCGTCGTCCGTCGTTGTAATAACAGTTGATTTTTTGTCGTTACCTGTTGTCAAATTTGTTATCAGCGATTGTGTATTATTGTTTTTTGAGCCAAACGGTTTTTGTCGGAGTTTTTTTCCTTCGTCAGAATGAGCATCATCTGCAAAGACGAAGGAGGAAGGTTAAACTGTATATTTTACCTTAAAACATGCTTTTGAGTCTGTGCACGAATATATTTAGTTATCTATCTGTAGTTTACCTCAACAAACATTAATGATAAGATAAAGTGTAAAAAAACTCACTCTGTTTGCTTAAAGGTATTTATACATATTTCTGTCAATAACGAAGGGCATTTGTCTAATCTTGAGATTTCGTTTACAGTCAGTGTAATTCTAAGCTAAATTTTCTTGTAGATTATCAGTTGGACATCAGGATATACAAAGAAATTAGCACTTTATGTTAATTCACTCACCGTTAAGCTGTATTTCATTTTCGACCGCGTCAAGTATTGGTGAGGATCGTGGTGTTTTTGTTCGTTGTTGTATTGCTACTTTAATAGTTACATCTTGTTCCTGTTGCCGGTGTTTTTTATTTTTTGTATCGACAGCTGTAACACTTTCAAAACTGGGAACTGCTGATAATGGTCTTTGTCGTTCATTTCCACATGGTTTTTGCCAAATAATCGTCGATGATGTCTGCTTTGCATTAGGAAAACTATTATTATCAAATTTTTGTAAATAACTCTCTGTAAACGATAGAAAGTCCTTTGATTGGTGTTGTACGACAGGTTGTTTTTGTTGTTGCTGCTGCTGCAAACAAGCATCATGAAATGATTGCACTGTTTTATAGATGACGTTTGACTGTTTAAATTTTGGTCTGTGATTTTTTTGATAACGATAGAAAGCTTGTTGGGAAACCGACGTCTGTGGCCGTTGCTGTTGTTGAGAATTTGAATCTTGTTCAGTCTTTATAGCCGGATTCGAATGTGACAAATGATGCGAATGAAATTTATCGAATGCCACCGGTAATTGTACTTGAAGCTGTATGGGTGCGGCTGTTCGAGGTCGTTGTCCAATTATTGAGCTGTATGGATTATTATTAATCACTTTAACAAAACATTGTTCATAGGCATGTAATGTTTGACCGATGTGTTGTTCTTTTTTTCGTTCTAGCCGATCTTCTATACGATACAATGATTTTAAGTTTTCTTTACGTAGAACAAAATCTTGACGCTTTTTGACTGTTTCGTAAGCATTATAACTACGTATATACGTAGTGCGATGACGATTTAAATCGTGTAAAAATAAATTATTAAAACTATTTTGTTGTTGTCCATCGAATATAGTTTGCTGAGATTGTGGTAGTAACATGAGTGGTTGTGTGCCATACAAATCAGATGTGCCATTTTGATGAGGTGATATGAAATTTTGAGTTATAATTGGTATACGCATCACAATTATGTGAAAAGTGATTTTAATGAGATCGCAGATGTATAAATTTTGTCACGAAGATAAGCAGAATCTGAAAACATCAATTTTTCAGCAAATCTAGACTTATGAATTGCTTGAGAAGCTAATTATAACGTCGGAAGTGTTTTGACGTTATAAAAAATAATCAACTAGAGATTGAGTTTAGCAAGTTCTGAAATAGAAATGAAGTCTTATAGGTTAGTTTTTATTTTTTTTTATAATCGTTTTTTTAAAACAAGTATTTTTGTACGGCTTTTCCTCGATATACGTTGAAAAACACATTACTTTTTTAATCGGCAGTTAATGTTTATTTCAGAAGTATCTTAAACACTCACCCCTGTTTATGATGTTATTTTAATAACTATAGGGTTGTTAACGAGAAAAATAGAGAGAATTGGCTCTATTAAAATTGAATTGTTCACACACTTTAAATGTACAAATTGTTTATGTATTGTTTGTTCTTTCGGTGACAATGTTTAATTTTCAGAAAGCGAAAAAAAAAAATGCTATTTCTCGTTTCTTTTCTCTATTTTAAAGAGAAAAAACATCAGAAACCTTTTGAACAAAGTGACAAACATAGTTTTTTTTCGCTCTTTTAACCCTAGCTGTAAGCTAATTCAGTCTATTATCATATATCTATATATGATTTGCTAGAAATAAGAACTAAATTAAATAATCAAAACGGTCGATCATACGAAAAAATCGATTGAAAGAAAGCATCAACTAAATTAATAAGAATAAAATAACTTTAAACTATAGTCTGAAATGGAGAGATCGTTCTCTAGCCTCATTTTCAAAATGTCAATATAAAAAACGCTCAAGTTCAAAAAATAACCGATTTCTCTCTTATTCTCTAGAAAAAAATCGTCTTTTGTTACAAGTAACTTGTTTTAAAAACGACATATTTGTTTTAAAAATAAATAGAATTAATTAAAGTCTGCAGCGAATTGAACAGATGCCTTTTACGATCAGTGAAAGACTATATGCGGTTTATATAGAAGACTATTACTGGATTCTAAAGATAAAATATGGGATATTTCAAGTGTAACAATCAGTCCAGAACTAAATGTTTTTTTTTCACGGATTTTCGACTGTTAATCAGCATGTCCCTTTCAACAATTGTTCGTTTGTCAGGTCGATTCATTTAGGTTAAACCAAATGTTTTGGTCTCTGTATTAAAAGCCAATTCATTTTACCATGATTAGATAGAAAAATTAATTTTTTTGCCTTAAAGGATTTTTAAATTAATTAAAGGCCTGAGTATTTTTGTCACCAATTTATAGTAGTTATATCTAATTTAGTTTCCGTTATGAAATCTTTGAGCTCTGTGATTTCTGTTCTGCGTTTCTTCTTTAATAAATACTCTTTTATCATTGTTTTCAGCCCTTCACATTTCAGATTGTTCATTTTTGTCAAATTAAATCTAAGCATATTTGTTCTTGTATGCGTATTACCAATGGCTGAATATTTAGCCTCTATATTTGGTACAGAAAAAGACAAGTAAGTTGCGGTTTGCTTCAGGTTAATTCTATGATTTTAATAAATCTCTATTTTGTTTCAGAGTTAACTGTTCATTTTATTTCAAAATTGGTGCATGTAGACATGGTGAAAGATGTTCACGTGTACATAATAAACCAACATTTAGCCAGGTATATCAATCATATAAAAGTAAAAGGAATGATCTACTCCTGAATCTTATTTTTTTTTCTAGACAATTATTATGAAAAATCTTTATTTAAATCCATCGAACGGTGCAAAAACAGCTGATCAATCTGTTTCTATAGGTAAACGTGCAATATGTGTAGATTTTTGGTAGATTTTTATCATAAGTCGTACTTATATATAGCTTCGAAACTTCACAGTAAGATAAGACAACACTGCTTCTGTTTTTCCATGTCATCTTTTAGCACCGGTAGCACAGATCATATTTTGTCGACCTCTACTTACGAGGGAACCTCCTGAGGTGCTAAAAACCTGTTTGAATGGGACTATTTTTTCATGGACTATGAAGACCCCCAGCTTGGTTCGGGCGCGATCAGCTTTGTTGTTGAGATATCGAATTTTTACTAGAATTTTCCCCATGGGATCTAGATTTCAAGCAAAATCGGAGTTTTCAATTTCGTGCTGAAACTTGTCACATCTTGTAGCCCAGACCATTTGTAGCCTGATGAAAAAAGGCCGAGGTAAAAACTTCTTTCCGCTGCGGTGAAAGCTTTTTCAAAACTTGCTCTATATTTTACCTTTGGTACCCATGTGAAAAAAGTTTTCTCATCGCAGCGGAAAGAGATTTTTATCTCGACCTTTTTTCATCAGGCTACAAATGGTCTAGGCTACAATATGCGACAAGTTTCAACATGAAATTGAAAATTCCGATTTTGCTTGAAATCCAGGTCCCATGGAGAAAATTCGATATCTCAGCAACAAAGCTGGGGTTCTTCATAGCCCATCAGGGCCTACATTTCAAAAATAGTCCCATTCAAACAGGTTTTTAGCACTTCAGAAGGTTCCCTCGTTCGTGATCATTTTTAGAGTTGTTTTTTTCAATCTTTCCAAGAGTTAATCAAGAGTCTAAATAATTGTACATTGAAAGAGACCACTGTGTCGAATGTTCTCACCGCAAGAAGATGAGATTAATGAACTTTCAAATCCATCGGATCAAAATCTTCTTCCTCAATCTGTACTGCAGTCTGAACAAACGATAATACTGTTTCATCAAAAAATATTTCAAAACAAAAACGTTTTTGAAAAAGTTTTTGATTATAAACCTATCACGTCAATGTTTCTTGGAAGGGACCCGCGGATGTAAAGGATTATACGGCACTTTACTCGTTGTATCGCTGATGATGATTAGTGGTTCTTCAAGAGAAGATCTTGCTCTATTGCAACAGCTATTTTCAAATCGAAGAGCTCAATAAATTTTGTTCTATAAGGGTGTGTTTACAACTCAAATGATCTTATTACTTCTTTTAGTTGATTCTCTTGGTAATGGATGGACAGAGGAAGATGTCCAAGAACATTATGATGAATTTTATGAAGAAGTGTTTTGTGAAATTGAAGATAAAGTGAGTTATCGAATGTAGAACAACCGTATCTTATTTTTGATACACCCCTAAGTAGGTCATGAATTTTTTCTTAAGTACAGTTAGTTTCTTCTCCTTTTGATTTTCAACTGTCAAACTTTGTTCATTGTGGCTATTGTTGCAGGCAAAACACGCACTATGCACTACTAATTAGCAAACGATGGCTTAATTTGTGAAGAAATATATGATTGACGCAACGGCATACACACATCTACGCAATGTACATACTTGCTGCCAAAGGCTACTATATATACACACGTCTTTTATTCTATCTATTCTTTTCAGCCCAATATAAAACAGAGAAAACACCATCAGTTTTTTTAGGCGGAATATATGGTGTGGAAACACCCGGCTTTTTTTTAAGGTAGAAACTTTAAGAATACACTTCATTCTTTAAACAAACCATTCGTCCGTTAGGTTTCTGCTTCTAGGTTTTTTAGGATTTTTCTTTTTGTCTTAAAAAAAAAGTATACAGGTCTTTTCCCTTTTGTGTTTGAATCCGTATGTGTATACCATTAAGCCATAAAATAAAAAAATTATTATTGTTTGCGTTATTCCGATTTAGTACGGTGAAATTGAAGAAATGAATATATGCGATAATTTAGGAGAACATTTAGTTGGCAATATTTACGTTAAGGTAAGAAATATTATTTTGCATCAAATAAAAAGTTCATCGTTATGTATAATGATGTTTTCCATTTTTTAGTTTCGTTACGAAAAAGACGCTGAAAGAGCTGTAAAGGATTTAAATAACCGATGGTTTTCAGAAAAGCCTATTTATGCTGAGTTATCTCCAGTCACAGATTTTAAAGAAGCAAGTTGTCGACAGTATGAATTAGGGTATGTTTTATAATCTTTTAGTTACCTAATGTAACTTCACTTTATTCTACCATTTTTAGAGAATGTCATCGATCTGGATTCTGTAATTTTATGCATATCAAACAGATAAGTCCTGATTTGAAGAAACGATTACGTGACAGGCGAACACGACGGTAAGTTATTTATCTACATAAAATTTCTGTTTTTTTACTACATTTAAGAAATTTAATTTTTAGCTCATCAAGATCGAGAAGTCGTTCACGAGAACGTCGAAATGCCAATTCCAATACCAATAATGGCAACAATAATATGAATAATAACAGACGACGATGATGTTTATTTTTTGTGTTTGTTGACTATGGATATTTAGTAATAATTACTACTGTCTGTTTTCTTCTATTATCATTATGCAAGGAGAAAAAAACATCGTGAATTCTATTTGTTTTTTACTTTGTATGTATATCTTTGTTGTTTCTTTTTATCTTATTCATTCTTGTTTTTTGTTTATCTGTGTTTGATGAATTACACAACAAGAAAAATTGTAGACACAGTCATACGTATACTTGTTTGTTTTGATTTTTTTTCATGCTTAATTCTGAAAATATATATTAATGAGAATATTTAATCTCTATTTTGCTTAAAGTAATGGACATAAGTATCTTACTTGATATAGATATGCTCAAAATAAGTGATGAAATAGTTGCATCATATTTCAAAGTAAAAAAGTTGCATCATACAATATTTTAAGTTATATGCGCCATCAGTGCTGAATTAAACTTTTACTATAGACAACATTCTTTTTATCTGGTTTCAATTATTTCTCTTGATTTTGTTTACCTCTAAATGGAAATGTCGTTGATTTTTTACCAAATTCATTTGTATCCACATCAAGTGTACAAAGATTAGGCTTATATTGTTTATTTCGATTAATACACATACGTTTTCTATTAACTTTAGATCCTTTCTTCATCATGGATGACAAGGAAAATGAAACAATTATTAAATATTTTTCACAAATTCGTCAAGAGGAACCGGACACGGTTCGTATATTACTCCTCGTCTTGAACTATAGACATCTGTGATATTTTTATTTTTTAGTCTGTAGCAATTGCAGCCATTCGTACATTATTAGATGTTATCAAACGTTCAAATGCCGGTACAATAAGTGAATTATCAATACAATTAAAACATTCTCAACAATTATTGTTAACACAAACCGATTCTTCTATGCCAAGCGTTAAATCTGGATGTGAACTATTTTTAAGATATATAACATTAGCAAAATTCGACTCATTTGCTATTAATGAATGTCGTAAACAATTAATTGAACGTGGACAATTGTTTCTTGAACGTACTCTGAATTCTCGTCAACGCATAGCCGAATATGGCCAAGAATTTATTGTTGATGGTAGTGTTATATTGACGCACTCTTATTCTCGAGTTGTTCTAGCTTTACTCAAATATTCATCAAAATTTTGTCGATTTCGTGTGTTTATAACTGAATCTAGTCCGGATAAATCCGGTTTACGTATGCGTGATGAATTAGAACAATTAGGTATTCCATCAATTTGTATTTTGGATGCGTGTGTGGCGTATATTATGGAACAAGTAAATTTTGTTTTGGTTGGTGCAGAAGCAGTAGTGGAAAGTGGTGGTATTATTAATAAAATTGGAACATTTAATATGGCTGTATTAGCAAAGGAAATGAATAAACCATTTTATGTTGCTAGTGAATCATTTAAATTTGTTCGTTATTATCCATTAAATAATCGTGATTTACCTGATCTTTTCAAATATAAAGCATCAACAATAGCAAGATTAGGTGGAAAAAATTTAGAAACAGAACATCCACTTGTCGATTATACGCTACCATCGTACATCACACTATTATTTACCGATATCGGAACATTGACACCATCAGCTGTTTCCGATGAATTAATCAAACTATATATTTAACAAATGATAATGCACTACACACGAGGCTTGATGAAGCTGGTATTTTCGTAAAGTATTGAAAAAAACAGTTTAGAAAGGGTATAGTTATCTTGAGAGCTGTATAAATCATTATTCGATCAAAAATGCACTTTCTAGTAACGAGAAAATACGACAGTCTAAGTGTAAAACTCACGTAAGGAATGTATACGTCTGTTTTGATCTGTAGGCTGCTACTACTTGGATCCATGGAATACACGTATCATCTTCAGACATTTTTACAGATAAAATACACGCACTTTTTGAATTTTTAAAGGGTTTTTTGTAATATAAATTGTCTTGCATTTTTTTATACTTATTTTATTATTAAAATCCAAAATCAACATGATCAACAGAATGATTTCTTTCTCATATCTCTATATTCCTCAGTGGTTCGTAGTTAAAAAATGGGTATTTCCAAGTAAATATTATCCACCATGCTTAACAAAAGGTTTTTTTATTCAATTTTTGTTCCTCAGCTTTAGTTGAGAAACATCAGATTTATAATTAGAGTAGAAAATCTATCCTCCTACAAACGAACGTGTTTGTAGTACGTTCTTTAACACAATTACTCGACAAAAAAAAAATAAAAAAATTAGAATTCAGCTAAAATAGCTTCTAAACGATCATAAATTGTATGACCACGATCAACGAGTCCATTTAAGCGATCGATAGCCGATTTAATAGACGTAGCTACTTTTGATTGATGATGATTATGATTGTTTGTTTTTGTTGCGGCTGTTTCACTTTGTTCCATATCTTCTTCATTAATAATTAGCAGAGGTGTAGTGGCATCTACTAATGATGAAGCATTTTGTTGCTGTTGGGTAACAACATGTCCTAGTGAACGTACAAGATCATCAAGACCGCTTGAATGATTGTTATTATCAACGACATTATCTTCTTCTAAATATTCGTCTTCTTCATCTTCATCATATTCACGTTTTATTAATGTATTATCAATAACGCGTAATGCTTGCTAAATAAGAAATTTTTCACGTAAAAAGTTTATTTTCAAATAGAATTCGTACGATGTCCCGTCGATTCGTCTCTAATTGGCTTTGTGAGATTGAACAAAATCAAAAGTGAGAGTGAGTTAGCAGAGACGAATCGAGGCTAAACCAATTCGTACATACCTGCAAATGTGTTCGTACAGTCAAAAGTTCAGATGATAATACGTTTTGATGTTGATCTGGCATCGTCATCGAATGTTGTCTTAGACCGTTAGCTAAACGATTATTGTTAACATTTTGTTGTTTTTGATATGATGTGTCAGCTGACAAAGGCATAGAAAATCCACCTATTGTCTCATTGATGTCAGATTGTCCAATTGTCGATTGTAAAATATCACTGGATGTTGTACTGTTAGACTCTGTTTGCTGTTGACGTTGTTGTTGTATTTCCTGTTGACTTTCTTTCAACTTTTTTGCAGCCCTAAATTTAAACAACTTCTTTAAGTTTTACATGAATAATGCTTGTGTGAAACTGGCCTCTCATCTATGGTGTGTCGACAAATAATTTCCCGATTATTGAGCAATATTCATGCGTGTTTTTTATCAGACTAGAGACTAAATGAATGATCCAATATAATCAAAACACTTTGTATTTTGATCATAACTTTTTCCTCACATATTCAAATGAAAAGATGAATTTACATTAGAATAATGCGCTGTAAGACACTATGAAAGTTCCTTTTTTTTGAAATTTGTCAGTATTTTCTATTCAACAGGGCATCTTTGAATTTTGCCAAAACTATTGGCTTCTAGACATACATCAGAAAAAGGTTATGATCGAAATACAAATGTTCAGTTTATTCTAAACAATCCATTATTAAAACTAAAGTTCAACAGTTTTTATCAAAGAAACGTGATAAAGCTTACCGCTCTCGATGAAAATAATCTGATATTCGACGATACGCTTTTCTTTCATCTAAAATCTTGTAAATTTTTTTAATTGATAATGGAACATGTTTTTCACTTAAAATATAAAGTGGAAATTTTTTATAATCATTGCCATATATTTCACGAAGTCGATATAATAAGTCTTTTTCATCATCTTGTATTCGAATTACTTTTGTATTTGACGTTAAACCACTAGTAGTCATTTTTATTGTAAAAGAAATATTGTATAATTTTATTAAAAGAGACCTTTCGTTCCGTCTATATTTTTCGAGTGAGATATATAATAAGAATAGAGCGACAATAGAATCTGTACCATCAATACACGTGATGTTGAGACGTTTTTCGCGTTGTCGTAGTTGAGTACTGGAATAGAAGAGAATAATAAAGAGAATAAAACGAGAATAATGTAAATGAGAGTAGATGTAAGTGTGTGTGTGTGTGTTTGCGATATGTGACTCGTCGACGTCGACGGTTCTTTCTTTCCTCTCTCTCTTTTCTGAATTGTATGTTTGTTCGCTCGTCTTACTCGATCGTTTCCTTTGAGGAGAGATGCAGAATAATAACAACGGCATTTTTTTTCGTTTAAAAATATAGAAGTATTTCTACGGACCGCATGATCGAGTTACGATGTTTTTGAGGTCAGATATATTCAGATGGGGAAGGAAAAAGAGAGAAAAGAATAAACGAAATACTCAACCATACGAATATATATAGATATTTTTTCTTTACCTCGTCGTTGACTACAGTATAACAGACAACATTTTTAGAGCAAGCAATACACACAGTGACAGGTGTAAGTGGCATGGGATTGTCACAAAGAAATTTAGAACATAAAGCTCAAAAGAAAGGGAATAATGATATTTCTAACTACCAAATGTATATATCAATGAATTAAACGATAAATTTATTAATCAACTTACTAATAAAATGATGAAATATTTTATATTGAATTTTCAAATCTTGATCATCTTCGCTTAATTTCCCAAATAGATGAAACAAAATATATAATAAATTTTTATGTTAGTGTCTAAAAATTTTATTAGTTTGTTCTCATAAAGAACAAAATTTAACAGTATCCTCTTTTAAGATTGTTAATTATACTATGACAATGTTTTCCATATCTACGTTCTTCCGTATACTATCAAAAATACCAGTCAGATTTTCTTCAACAAATATTACAAAATATCCATATCATTTATTTAGACAGGTATGTGAAGATAATTAAAATTGTTGAACTAGCCAGAGTTCCATCAAATGACATAACATAGTTGATTTCATTTAATTTTTTGTAATATTTCATTCACGTTAATAAATAACAATGTTCGGATAATTAAAACGACTATATATATATCATAGAACAAGTATAAAAAGTATAGTTAAAAATCGACGGCAGTTGTCATTGAAACTTTATTTGTCTTACTTTTTTTGCTATGATCAATGACAAAAAATAGACGCACATACAACAGAAAGGCATTGAATCAAAAACAAATAAAAGTATTAGAAAGAAAGAAATCAAATAAATTAGTGAGTATTTCAGTAATGGGTTCTCAACCATCAAAAGCTTTATTGACTGAATCAATAGTACCTAATCACTATTTTCGTCAGGTATAGTAGAACTCTTATGGAAGATGTATTCTGTGAACAAACGAAACAATTATTATGTATTTTTTTCATAGCTATTTGATCAAACATCATACACCTACACTTATTTGCTAGGTGATGTACAAACGAAAGATGCTATACTTATTGATCCTGTTTTTGAAATGGCCGAACGAGATATGCAAATAATAAAACAACTTGGATTAACATTAAAATATGCAGGTATGATGAACATTTTTTTTTGCCATTTCTTTTGAAATCTGTATTATTTTTTGTTTATTTATTTTTAGTTAATACACACGTTCATGCTGATCATATAACTGCTAGTGGTAAATTGAAAAGTGCATTGTCGTCATGTAAAAGTATAATTGGACAAAAAAGTGGAGCAAAAGCTGATATTTATATTGATGATGGTGAATGAAAAAAAAACCATTAATTAAATTATTTTTGTCTATTATTTATTTTTAGGCGATACTATTGAATTTGGAAAGCAAATTTTAGAATGTCGATCGACACCAGGACACACAAATGGTAAACATGTCGATAAATTTCTTCGTCGTATCAGTTATATATTTGTCGGAATAATAACTGAAACATTTTGCTCTCAAATACTAATTTATTATTATGAAAAAAAATATGATGCAGTAAAATTGTTTAATTCTCCTAAAGATGTGTACTACTACTAGTAGTAACATACACTTTATTGTTAATATTTTCTATCGAAGTACACAATCAATAGTTCTTGAATAAAGTTTCTTTTGTTTTAGAAAAGATACTAAATACAAATATTGTATGTATAAAAACTGTTCTAGGATGTATGAGCTATGTTTGGCACGATAAATGTATGGTATTTACTGGTGATTGTTTACTGGTACGCGGTTGTGGTCGCACTGACTTTCAACAAGGAAATGCCAAAGAATTATATAATTCCATACATACAAAACTATTTTCATTACCAAATCATTATTTGATCTATCCAGCACACGATTATACCGGTAAATAACCACACAACTTGTCCACGTAACGGTACACTTTGCTGATCAAGTTTCTGAAAAATTTTTTTCGATATCGAAAGTTTTAAACATATGATTAGATTCAGCTTTTTATTCTAAGAACCCGTTTGTTTAAAAAAGTGCGTAACGCCGTGACGAAAAACGTAACGCTGTGACGCTTATATGTTGTGTTTTTCAGGCAAATCTAATAACCTAGGTGAAACATTTTTTTACTATTAGAAAGCCCGTGAGCTGCTCTACAGGATCGGCTCAAGGAATGTTCCGTTTGAAGGACTACTTTCGCAGCAAATCACGATTTTCGTAGCAGCACTCTTAAAAAAGGGTCTTTTTTCGTAACGCCGTAACACAATACTAAAATCTTTCTCAAAGCCCAATGCAACATCCAAAAACCTTCGTTTTCACAGCATAAGTAGAGCATGATGAACTGCGTCGATTGACGTTTGAACGAACTTTTCAGCTACTTTAGTTTGCGAGATAACCGACGTTTAGTGCGTCAAAAACGTGAACGTGACGTTTGGACAAGTCGCGCAATACTTTAATTTCAACGTAATATGTCATGAATTCATTTAGGCCAAACATGTAGTACGATTGGAGAAGAAAAAGTACACAATCCTCGTACCGCAAAATCACTCGATCAATTTACTGAAATAATGAGTAATTTGAAACTAAGTTATCCAAAACAGATTGGTGAGATCGATAAACGCGATATTTGGAAAGACAAAAAATTTGTTATTTCATTTTTTTTCTTTGTTTAGATAAGGCATTACCTGCCAATTTAGCTTGTGGTATACAAGAAGATACGGTTTAAAAAGCTACTCGTATTATTCAATAATGACAATTGTGCAGTTTTTGCAATTTTGTGTTCATATATTTGTTATACATGCTGTTCAAATGTTTTTTTCTGCACGTAATTTTTTGATGATATTGTTAATGTGATACAGAATCAACGATAATTAATATTAAAAGCCTGTTTAGAGAAAATACGAAGGTGTGCAATGATTAATCGCATTTTAAAACTGCTGATTTTAAGTCAGTGGTACAGCTAGAAATTTTCCCATGTATTTCCACCAAATCTAAAAAGGAATTTTTCACAAACAAATTGGAGTTTTTCCATTTTTTTTCAATACTTTTCGCCAACCGTGGACACGTTAAACTTGAAGCTATGCGTAAGTCAGGCGGACTTGTTATAGTGATCTAAAATGTAAACTGGAACGCATTGGCAGCAAAGACACTCTTTAGACTTGAGCCTCATCAGATTTCAAAAGCTAAAGATGATTAAGATTTTGGTATTATATTCTGAACCCTGAGTAGAAGATTTCTATAAGTTGCGTTCCTTCTGCAGTCATACTCCTGGTATTTAAAATAATTAAAGTAAGTATAAATTCTCATTATACAACACAACTAGTTTAGCGCTACACTGTAAAAAAGAAAGCACTCTGTGGTGATGCTGATCCTATTTATAGCGGTCTTGTTTTGCTGTACTTTTGAAGTGTTTGACTGAAGAATACTTTGAAAAGTACTTTAAAGAAAACCATTTGCAAAGCGCTCTCCAGTAAACGAAATAAAGACCGCTACAAATAGGATCAGCGCCACAAGAGATCACTTTTGAAAGTGCTCTTCTCTAGGTCATTTTTTCGAATTTTTCTCAAATTTTATTGTATTTAATTTTGAACTAATTTTGAAGTATGATTTTTGGTTCCTTTGACCCATGGAACTATTCTTAGTACCAGTCTCAAAAGTATGATACTATCACTAATACTAATCCATAGGCTAAAGCTACTTCTTCCAGACAAGCTTCGATAACTTGTATAGTCGTTGAAGAGAAAAATTTCTAAGTTATTCAGTTCTAAGTTAAAATCAGCGTTACATATATAAAAATAGTAGTAATAGCAAAATAAAAGGGGTGAATGACTTGTCAACATTACTTTAAAAAATGTCTTTTCAAAAAAATACTTCATGTCACACTGTTTGTCACAGTGTTTTCTCTTGGGTCACTTCAAAAGCGACTTTCTACTATATATCTTTAAAAATGCTCTCTTTGCAATCACTTTGAAAGCACGTTTTTTCACGAAGTGCTCTAGTTTACACAAGGTCAAAAGTGATTTATTTTCTCTATACCTGAAAGGGCTATGTTTAGCCATGCACTTTATAGCAAAACAGTTTTCATAAAAAAAGACTTTTTGTAGTACTTTATTTTTTACAGTGTATACAGAACATCGTCATCAGATTTTGATGTCAATTTGTTATTCGGCACACGTCGGATACAAACGATTAGGTTCTAATGTGTTCTTCGTACATATAAACTTTGCTATTTTTCTATTTGGACTATTTCATTGGAAAGATGTACACTGGAATGAGAGAACATTAGAATACTCACATTCAGATTAAATTTGCATTTTATTCATAACATATAAAGCAATCGTGTTTTTTACTCTGTATACCATATACTATGTAGTGTGATGGTTTCTGATTTATTATCTTTTAGAAGAACATATATACTTATAGTAAATAAACATGGACGGGACAAAGGTTTTTCACTCCCATCCAGAGATGGACAAAAGGCTCGCTAAACTTGATAAACTGACTCGAGTCACTTTTTCAGACATCCGTGGAGTAGTAGGCGTTCTGTGCTTTTCAAACTGCTTTTAGAAAACAGATCAAAAGCTTATCCCCTCTAATTAAAATACTTCCATGCAAGCTTTATTTGAATAACTATTTTCCTTTTTCAAATGCGTTTTTTTTATAAATGCATAACACATATCACAGTTGAGGAGTAGTACATCTTATATGTGCACTCATCTGGCTCTCGAATTGAAAGTATTCTCACGTTGTTACCTGCTGTTGCCATGTGGAAATATCAATATGCGTTAAAAGAGAATTCAGAAAAACAACAACTTGTAGATATACTGAATAATCTAAAAGAGTAGTATATGGATTGTGTTATTATGCATTACGAGTTCTGTCCGTATTAGTTATTTGTTTTTCCTTAGTCGTTGACCATACTTTTTCTGTTTTAATGACCTTTTTAATGTATGTATGTATGTCTGGCATTTCTTTTCGTAATTTAAGTACTTCATTAAGCAAAATGCTGTTGTACAATTGTTTTTAAGTTGTTTTCTAAAATTATGACTGTAAGTATGTATCTTTTTTTAGCTGAAAAACAGACAGATCTACAACTACGTTGACGAAAATATGCTGACCAATTTATAAAACATAATGTAGTCGACAACTCAAATCTAAGAAGGCTTTTGTTTTTGACCACTGGTGGAAAAGTGTTCAATAGGCAGATATCGGGACGATATTTATCAGTGCTGAGAAGGAAGATGTAGTTCTAAGCTTTCTATCTAAACTATTACATTCGACATCTACTTTTATTATTTCTTTTACCTTTTTGGGTAGTTAATATAGTCTTATCAGTCTTTTATTCGTATACATAACAGATAAGAGATATGTAGTGAAGAAAAGTTGTTGTACTTTCTCATTTTTAACTGTGTTTTAATGTAAGAATTATGTCATCTTCGATAGATAAAGAAAAATCGGTTTCGACAACTATTACCGTAGAACATGGAGTTGATCCTACTAAAGTAGCAACAAAAACTATCTATACTGGAGCCAAAATACCAGTAATCGGTCTTGGGACATTTGGCTCGGATAAATATTCTGATGAAGACGTGGCCAAAGCTGTCTTAGATGCAGCAGCACATGGCTATCGTCATTTTGATTGTGCTTCCGTTTACGGAAATGAAAAACGTATTGGTCAGTCGCTGAAGACTATTCTTGATGGTGGTGTTAAACGAGAAGATTTGTTCATAACGTCGAAATTATGGAACGACAAACATGCTGAAGAAGATGTTATTCCTCAATGTAAACAGTCGTTGAAAGACCTTCAACTAGACTATTTGGACTTGTATCTGATTCATTGGCCATTTTTGAATCATCACGCCAAGGGAGTATCGGCTGATGCACGTGATCTACAAGCGAAACCGTACTCACATGATGCGTATATGAAAACATGGCGACAAATGGAAAAATTGGTTGAATTGGGTCTTGTACGCCATATTGGTACGTCGAATGTAACCAAACCAAAGTTAGAATTAATTTTAAGAGATGCAAAAATTAAACCAGCCGTTAACCAAATGGAGTTGCATCCTCATTTTCAACAACCAGATTTATTCGAATTTGTGACTAAACAGGGCATTATTCCTGTTGCCTTCAGCCCTTTAGGATCTCCCAGTCGACCTGAACGTGATCGAACACCAACGGATTCAGTACCCATGGATGATCCAGTCATTGTAGAAATAGCACACAGATTGAATATTGATTCTGCCAGTGTTTGTATAATATGGGCAATTCAGCGTGGTGCAGTTCCCATCCCCTTTTCAGTAAAAAGAGTTCAGTATTTGAATATATTAAAAGCAGTAGTTGGTGAACGGTTAACAGATGATGACATGCAAAAAATAAGTGCAATTGAAAGAAATAATCGTTTTATTAAAGGACATGTTTTCTTATGGCCGGGAGCGAAAGACTGGAATGCGCTTTGGGATCGGGATGATCAAATTTCTGAATGAGTAAATACATCTGATTTTAAATAGATATAATATACAATGCTTTATCGGCAAGAATGATGTTTCCATTACTTTTAAGAGCCCGTTGTTTAAATTTATTATCATATATTACTCATATATTGAGAAAGGAAAAGTTCAAAATTTACTCAAAAACTTATTTAATATTTCTCCCTTTAGGTTTTTTAGCATCAGGACATTTAAGTATCACTGGATTATGTTCGACTATGATATTGTTCATAATTTCAAGTTTTTCATCAGGTTTACGTAATAAGAAGTCTGTCCCAGTGGTTAGTATAAAAAGAAAAAAGAAAAAAGTCGCATAAGCGAGAGTTGTGCTGATACTATTCGTTCACACTAGGACAAAATATTGCCAATTAAGCACGGCAGAGAAACTCTAGCCAAACGCAAAACCGACCTGATAAAAAAACCGTCGAAACGCGACTAAAGAATCTTTTTTTGTAAAAAGCAAACCCTTTTCTTGATAAATCTTTACGTACACATTCTACAGTGCGGTATATTCTACGGAAGGTCGATTCCACTATGACAATTCCCAGTATTTGTTAATTAGTATTTCCTGGTTAATTGGCCAAAAAAAATAAGTGGGCCATCCTAATCAGGAATCAGTTGCCTATCCCTCTCTATCGATCTTACGAATAATCTCTTACGTGACTCGATAGTCACAGGCTCAAAGGATATTTTCGTAGATTATAGACTAGATTTGTATCAGTTATTCTGCAGAACTCCTGCAGAGCTACAAGTTTAATTGGAATAGAATCTGTTAAGAGGATAAATCTGTTGTATTCATCCGTTCTCAACAATGTATTTATTGTTTCTTCAAACTAACGGCATAGGTAAAATGGTTCATCGACTGTATGCTTGCCAAGATGGGTGCTTTAACTATACTAAAGAACATTGCTTTATTAGTACATATATTAGTACAACATATTAGTTTAATCACTAATATGTTCTCATATTCTTGCCTATAAATGACGGCAAGATCTCCCAATATATTTCTCATTACATTCAAGATAAGAGCCTCATAGACTATTCCAAAACTGAGATAGTCAGGAATTTTATTTTTAGTAGAAAACTCAGTATCATGTTTTTCCAGATTTTCACTGGGTTTGTCAATCGATGTGTTTTGTGTGTGTGATATTTAGATTGTCTAAACATGTGAAACCAATTTTAGAGTATGCGTCTGTCATTTTTTACAGTACATTTGAGACACATTTGGAGCCTTTAAACTCAGTTCAACGGTTAGTAGCACGAATTGTTTCTAAGAACTACTAGACAGCATCTACGAATTTGGAAGAAAGTTTAGGATTTCAATCTCTTTCATACAGACGTAAATTAGCCCATCTTCAATATCTATGGAAAATTCTAAAATCATCATTTAGCCCTTGCTCATTTCAATTTTGTGATGTTTTCCACCAACAGACATTCTCAACGTAGTACTCAGGCTCCAAAACTTCATGTCATCTTTACAAATAAACCTTCCTTCGCTTCCTCTCTTATTGTGCGCACAATCAAAGAAATCAAACAAACTTCCACTTCAAATTGTACAATGTAACTCTTTCTCTTTGTTCAAAAGTCATTTAAAACATACTACTATGCAACAAAAATAAAAAATTCTTGCTTGTAAAGATACGTCTTGTGTGATACCATTATATCTGTCTTGTTTTATATGTACCTTATAAAACTTTCTGTTCGGTTCTTTCTACCATTTCTCTCACTTCATAGGTGTAATGCTTACAGAGTGTGCTGTTTATTCTCTTTGTTACTGCCTTTATCTTTTTAGTAATAAAAGTACTTGACTTGGCTTGACTTATCATCATTTGAGAAGTTAAAACTATATGCATGCGACATCTACACAGTCATATTATCTGCTGGGAGTACGCCAATCGATAGAGAAAAAAAAATGTTCTAAGTTCGTTTCTTTTTTTATCATATCATATCATCCCATATATAATATGATATCAATAGTGACAGTTTTTACTTAAACTAATTTGTTGTTGTGGTCAGTGTATCAGAAGTCCAGAAAAAGCGTCGAGTATCGCCCAATGCATCGAAATACAGATAAATGTTTCTATTTGTGCAACTAGATAACATGGCCCATGATTGGCATTGGGATCGAGTTAAACTTGGTGCATGTAGATGTATGGAGCTATACATCCGGCAATGCAGGTAGATAAATCGATGCTTCATCTAGAGCATCCACATAAAAGAGCAAAATATATCGACTAATATGCCGACTAAAGCATCTAGATATTTTGGTTGAAGCACTTTTGCGTTGGACGCTTGACGTAATACGGTACAATTAATGTAAGCTCACGTTGACGCAAACGACTTAAGTCTAACTTACATTATATGAGCATAACGTATTTTCAATTCTCTTTCCATACTGCGTCAACGTTTGAATGAATTATGATTTCTCCATTTGATATATGCTTTATCTAGCTCTGCAATTGGAAAGACCCGTAGCTCTCCTTTTAGAGCAATTATTGTTTCTTTTGATGTTGATTTTTCATACAAAGCATGTAAAAGATCTGCGGCATTTTTAAATTTTTGTGTATTACTTGCAGATGGAAAAACGAAATAAATCAGCAGTTTTGAAACAACAAACTACTCATTCGAATGAACAACAATCAAGTGTTAAAAAGCTCATTCGAACTGAACGATGGTACATTGAAAATCGAATCATATTTGTTGACTATTTATTCATTTATTCATTTTCTTCATTTAGGTATTTTGGTGGATTATCGGGCGTAATGGGTATATTGTTATCCACTGAACTATTCTTTAATAATTCATCTGTTTTTTTGCTATTAAGCTGCTTGCTGCACACATCCTCTGGACACACTCAAAGTACAACTGCAAACACAACAGCGAGCAGAATACGGGCTTGTGGGTATGAATTGGTAAGAACTTCTGTATTTGTAATTACGACTTTTATTTTCATCTAATGTAGGTATGGCTTTCCGAGTTATTAGAACAGAGGGATTTTTGTCACTTTATAATGGTCTGAGTGCATCGTGCCTTCGTCAGGCTACATATACGACAACGCGTTTTGCAATCTATGGGGCAATAAAAACATTAAATCCAAACCCAAATCTCCCGTTTTACCAAAAAATATCGTTAGCATTTGTTGCGGGAGCGATTGGCTCATTTGTCGGTAAGTGCAGTAACGTTGGATTCAATGAAAATGTATCGCTCTTTAATAAAATGAGATGTTTTTAGGCGCTCCAGCTGATTTAATTAATGTTCGTATGCAAAACGATTGTAAACTACGAAAGGAACAACGACGAAATTATAAACATGCTATCGACGGTATAGTTCGTGTTTGTCGCGAAGAAGGACCAAAAAAATTATTTAATGGTAACATAAACATAGAAACATATCGGAAATAAGTATATAGTAGGCATGAAATATTTTAGGAGCCAGTATGGCTATATTCCGTGGAGCATTGGTCACAGTTGGTCAGGTGAGACTATTCAATTAAGATCATCTTTTTCACAAAAAGCAGAAATTTTTTACTAGTTCAGTAGGATAATTCTAAGTTGTTTACATTTTCTGTTCAAGATTGCATTTTATGAACAAGTGAAACAATTGATGTTAGCTAGTGGGTTCTTTAAGGATAACGTAGCAACACATTTTGGGTATGTAGCTCTAGTTTTTCTTTGTCCATGAAGCATCAACGTGATTTTGTGCTTTTTAGTGCCAGCCTCACTGCCGGTGTGGCAGCTACAGTATTGACTATGCCATTAGATGTGATGAAAACAAGATTGATGAACGCTAAGCCGGGTCAATATGCTTCATTATTGGATTGTTTTAGCGACATCTTCAAAGTTGGCATTGGCGGATTTTTCAAAGGTTTTACACCAGCATTCATTCGTCTCGGTAAGTTTGATAAATCGGTATGAATATCAACTATTTTTATAGATCACAGGATATAAGAAGATTGGAACATAGTATCCGTTTTTATGAGAAAAAAAATACATTTTATAATATCGTCTAAATATCAGCATTCGTTATTGCGTTCTGTAAATTATTTTTTAAATGTAGTATATAGTTCTCTCTATTATGTCTTATATTTTTTCACAATGTATCTTTTAGGTCCACATACAATATTAATGTTTATATTTCTCGAACAATTGAAAAGCAATTTTGGCTATATAAAGGAAGAAAAGAAATGATATAGAGATTAAAGTATTTGTATGTTATTATCAACCTTGTACATTCGTTTATCTGTAGTCTCACCTCGCAACAGTGATATCTATTCTTTAAAAGCTCCACTCATTTCTATACTGACTGATAACGTTCCAAATATCGAATTCTTGTTGTTTTATATTGTCATCACTGGTTTTTGTGCTTCGTAGCGTTTGATACTGCTAGTTGTCGTTTAGTATTTATTGCTCATTTTTCTCTTCTGCTATTATCTGAAGGGTTTGAATTGTTTACTTTTTTTTATTAAATGCAACATGTTGCAATTTTTTTTACCCGGTTATTTTCTATGCCTTTTCTGTTATTTTCTTGTTTCGAAAACAAATAGAAGGTAATATTTTGTAAGACTTTTTCGTTGTATAATGTTTCCTGTGATTCAACTTATGTGATAAGTTTTCCAAATGCGTTTACACGAAAAAAGGAAAGCGTTTTGTTTTTTGGTAATTTTGTATAACATCGAATACTATTTCAGATAGTCGAGCATTATTTTTCATATTTTAGATTACGACTATCCAATGATCATATGATGGTTTTTTAAGTAGGACCATCAGAGGGCAAATTATCACTGCAAACAATATTTCAGAGATTTCGAAAGAATTTGCAACTATGCCGTGTTTCTGTTGTTCTCTTCTGTGTGACAAAGTCTATCTCTGGCAAACAATGACCTAGTTTGCCTCTTTAGTTATCTAACTAATTACTATACGGGACTATTAGAAGTTAGAAGCAGCTGGATAAATGACCTAATCAACAATCTGAAATGTCGTCTGGAAATCAAAGTAGATGTTTTTGGTGTCGTTTTTCATTATAGATATGAAAGCTCAACGAAACGTGACCACCCATCAAAATGGTGTTGACAGTGTTCGTAAATCATCCTCATCGTCGATTTCTTCTGTTTCTACTGTAATCTCACCATTACCACAAGTTCCACCTCTAGAACTTTATAGCTTTTATGAACAAGAAAAAGTTCATATTTATGATAAGCTATGTTCAAGTGTTAGTTTAACATGTGAAATAGCGTATGCGACATCTGATGGTATATTTATTTGTTCACCGAAAACCTATATCCAGCAAACATTTACATCTAATCCACAGTATCCACAAGAGAATGAAAATTATTCTTCGATGATGATAACACGTATTCATTATCCACATATAATTGATTCGCCAAATTCCTTAGCGTTTCAAATATCTTCATCAGCTCCATCGTGCCAAGCATTTTCACTTATTAAACAATGGCTTAAAGTATTATATGAAGCGTATTCAAATCGTCCATCATCATTATCTGCATTCGATCGCCTATTATGTCATGACACAACGCAATATCGAGGTTATCGTACATGTATGTTCTTACCATGTGATTTACCATATATAAATGGACAAAATTGTTTAGCTACCATAACATGTCTCCATGAATTATTCATCTATGAAGTACTCTCGTGTTCAAAACGTTATTATGAATCGTGTACATCAAAAATTCTATTCGATTTAACAACATTACTGATGAATTATCTAGAAAATCATAATAGTGAATACTTTCCAAAAAATTCGAATGATAAACACGATTATCGATATTTGTATACGCATTTAACATCGGCTATCACATGGATCAATTTAGCATTGTCATCATCACCATCAACAACATTACTATTTCAATTACAATACTCGGGACATTTAATTATATGGGAATTTGATGGTATGAAATGCATAAATAGTGAACCATTAGCTATTTTAGATTCATGCATTACAAAACCTCTTACCATGACTTGGCATAAGGATGAAAAATTGCTCGTTATTGTTGGCAAAGAAAATAAACGTGTGTTAATTAAGATGAATTGTTATGAGCATAAGACACCGACAACATTGTATGAACTAAAATCAGTAAATATGTATATCGAATTGAACATATTTGATATCAAGCAAGATGAAGATGAAAATGATAGTATGAACGCTGAACATTTAGTCATGATAAATTACAGTAAACAACAAAAGACGTTGATCATCGAAGCGAAAATGAATTATTGTCTAATTTATAAACTTGAACAAAATCGTTTGAATGATGCTAATCCCGTAAGTTTGTTTCAGCAATCATTGTTACCATCTAGTTCAATTTCATCAGAGATCAGACGACCCACCGTTCAAACTAAAAAGTAGATGAGTTCGCCTGTTTTTGCAACATTTGACAATAGAACGGAATTCCATTTATTTCTGCTTATTATCTTGTTTCCTATTGGTCAGTGTTCTCATATAAGCCAAGATTGTCTCCTTTTTCAAAAATAATAGAGCACTAGCAAATAAGGAGATATCTCTTTTCACATACGATATCTCGTGTGCCAACATTTTTTTGTCTCAGCGCGTCGATTGAAACGAAAGAGAACAGAAAGATATGCATGTGCGAAAAGAGATATCTCCTTATTTGCTAGTGCTCTAATAAAACCATCTCTGGAAAATCGAAAGACCTTATTCATTATGTCACCTTATGAACTTTAAAGTACACAATCTTCTGCGAAGAGCAGATAATCGAAAAGTGTCGCGGATTTGTTAATTTTTCTTGGTACATGATTCTCCAACGTATATCTTGTTGATTATGCTAGTCTTAATGTTCAAGGAATGTAACTTATTTGAATATTTTAGAAATCAACTGCTTATTCTGTCTGTCATTGCCATCTTATAAATTCGAAGATGTTACATTCGAACATAATCGGTTTTCAAATATTATATTCCAGTGATGAACAAACAGTCGTGATCGGTTGTGAAGACGGTAGTTTATATTCATTGACAATGGCATCGCCATCAGCTGATGAAATCTCATTTGATTTTAAACTTATTGTTACTGCGCAATCGAAACATTATTCACCACGTAAACCATTGTTATGCCGTCATTTTACGCTGATGAATAATCAATTATTATTAAATCGTATTTTTTATTCTCCAATTGTTAATCCAAATGAAAAGTTTGGTTATGTTTCATGTGTTGTTCATATATGGCCGCATCACCAACAACAACAATCCTTGAATTCATTGTTAGAACAGTTTCTTGGAAAAACGACTGTTCCTTTATGGAAATCCTATGATGAATTAGCATTAATACTATACTATCTGCCAAAACACCGTGATCAAGCAAATCAAATACTAAAACGTTTCATATCACCATCCATCATCTCGCAATCATCATTCTATTCATTACAACGTTTATGTCGTTTACAATCATTATTAGAATCAACTAGTTTAGCATTAAATAAAAATCGTAAATCGCAACAGGTGGCTTCAGAAACAAAACTTCTTCAGAAATATTTATCTCAATTAAATCAATTACTCGTTACATTATTTGGTACGTCAAAGAAAAAATTAACAAAATCAGAATTATGTTTATATAATTGTGTAGAAAGTCTCGTTGATGAATCTCTAACAAAAATAACATTTATTCTGACTTGTCCTCTGTGTAATGGTCAGATAAACAATGATAATTTGTCATTGTTCACTTGTACGTGTGTCAATAATCATTGCTGGCCACGATGCAATCGAACATTTTTACCTTTACAATTTGATAAAGCACAATGTTGTTCTTTATGTGAACGAACAATTATCTCATTGGATCCTTTAGATAATCAATATGAAAATTTTGCTAATGAAAGTAAACAATTACATTTTTTATTTTCTACTGTTTGTACCTATTGTACATGATGTGTTTACGTACAAAAAACACAAAACGTGTTAGAAAGAGAATTATGGTAAATCATAAACATCTTTTTATTTTTAAATCGAGTTTGGTCATTAGAATCTTCTAAAAGAGAATCTGATAGATCTAGTTGCCAAGATATCATTTGATTACCAAAAGAATGTAGTGAAGATGTAATGAAAAATGACTTCCAAGACCAAGTCCATTAATCTTGTTCACGCTCTTCTTATATTTTCTAGTAGAAGCTTGTTACACCCATTCTACCGTGTAATCGACATCAATTTGTTATCCCTTTGCTTTCAAAATGATAAGTATTTACGTGAAAATTTATGTCTCTCAACAATTGTCATCGTTTTACTCGTATTCTATCCAATCACCAGAGAAGAACATTACTTTTTGTGTACTCATCTCTCAGAATCTACATTTACGAACAGTTATTTGATGCAACATCAAAAGTAAATCTCTAGAATTAACTGTTGCCATTTTGTTTGTTCAAAATTCTGTTTGATTGTTACATTTGATTTTATTGTTACATTCTGTTGATTTGTCACATTGTATAATTATTTATTCTCTTTTTAGATAATATAAAATTACATCATCATCACTTAAAAGATCAATGGACACTGCAACTGTTGCTAACGGCGAAAACATACAAATTATACAAAATCGATCAAATGGACCTGGCAATAAACTTTTAGATCCACGTGGACCTTTCCTGAAATGGATTGCAGTATTTTTTATGTGTTTCTTGTCATTTGGTATGTACCTTCCTTTTGATCGAACAGAATCGAACTGAACACGATTATATCTGTGATCTCTTTCTTATTGTTTTTTCTTCTAGGCTCTTATTACTGTTATGATAATCCAGCAGGTTTACAAGATGTTATGAAAGATGATTTGAAAATATCTTCAAGTACATTTACAGCTTTCTATTCATGGTATAGTTGGCCAAATGTGGTTCTAGCAGCTGTCGGTGGTGTTTTGATCGATAAATATTTGGGTGTTGCATTCGGTGCTGTCCTATTTTCGGCATTTATTGTTCTTGGTCAAATTGTGTTCGGTTTTGGTGGTTATCTTAGATCGATTTGGTTAATGAATGCGGGTCGATTTATTTTTGGGTGAGTCTCGATGTTTTTCGTTTTCTTGTTCATATTATAAACAAAGCGTGGTTTGTTTGTAGTATTGGTGGAGAAAGTTTGGCTAGTGCACAAAATGCTTATGCTGTTAACTGGTTTTTTGGGAAGCAATTAAATTTTGTATTTGGCTTGCAAATATCATTTGCTCGTGTTGTTAGTACTAAAATATTGCTCAATGATTGTTGTTTTTATTCTTATTATATGCTATCTGTTTAGGGAAGTTTAATTAATTTAAATACTATACGCCCAATCTACGATTCATTAGGTGGTCATTTATCCGGTCCAAAACAGATTGGTACCACGTTACTTATAGCTGTATCAACATGTATTATTTCATTGATTTGTGGACTTATATTATGGTGGCTTGATACAAGACGTCGACGTGCAATGGTAGAAGATAATGAAATTGTAGCTGGTTTGTACGATAAATTCTCATTTTAAATTTTGTTACTGTTTTCATATTATCTTTGTTTTAGGCGAGGAATTCCATCTTTCAGGTAATCATCTTTTTTTTCGTTTGAACCTTTATTTTTTTCCCAAGAGTGAACGATACTGAAAAAATTTGTTTAAGATTCAAGAGAAAGAAACTAAAATGTATAGACAAATGTTAACGTACTAGTTGTTGACTAAAACAAAGAAGAGATGTGTGAATCGACACTTTTTTCTAGCCTGAATCGCGTAAAAAAACTGCCTCGAATCATTTTCTAAAGATAAAACTCCTACTGATTCATTTTTCCACGCACAACTTTCAGCTTCTGTTGTTTTAAGCATTCACTGTACTCATTCTTTTGAACGTTTACTATGTGCTGTCTTGTAACAATATAAGAAATACCTTCGTAAGAATCCAAATTTTCACATAACTGACTCTAGTCAATTTATCATAAGTTTATTGAGTCCAAGCTTCAGTCTGACTGATGAAAAAATGTGATTCGAGTATTCAAAAAAATTCAATTGTTTTTGTTTTCGTTCTTCTAACTTTTCGAAAGTATTTTTATCGGTTTCAGCATTAAAAACTAAGTATGAGAATGGTGTTTGATCGAGGTTGAAGTAAAAGGTCTATCGAATATGGACGTCTTGGACTTCCTCTGTAAAAATTTCCTAAACAATTTTTCAAACCTATCTACCTTTGTTGTGAACAGAAGAAGCTGACCTTTTTATTTCATTAGAACTGCCATTAAACGAGCTTGGAAAATATGCATCGCTTTTTTTTAAAATTTATTTCGTTCCTGAGAAAATACATTTTTTCTGAATCAGAAGCGATAAAATTGGAATTCTGCCCGTAATTCTCTATTTTCTCCACCAGAACTCACAATTATGCGTTATCATATTCGGCGTTAGCGTCGAAAATCGAGTCGAATGACATATGTTTTGATATTTTTTGTTGATTTTCATTTTTGGTGAAAATCTCATTAATTTTTCGAGATAAAAGTTCGAAAAAATTAAGGGTAATCGAATAAGATAAAAAAGTATATCATTCGACTCGGTTTTCGAACTTCTTCTCTTCACAAAAAAAATTGATAGGTTTGCAAAATTGTTTAGGAAATTTTTACAGAGGAAGTCCAAGATGTTCATATTGGATAGACCTTTTACTTCAACCTCGATCAAACACCATTCTCATACTTAGTTTTTAATGCTGAAACCGATAAAAATACTTTCAAAAAGTTAGAAGAACGAAAACGAAAAACAATTGAATTTTTTTGAAACCGAAGGGTTTTTCGAAATTTAAGACCCTTGTAGTATTATGAAGATTTTCCTTAATTTCTTTAAGCTTTCTTGCTTATATTTAACCAAATTTTTGAAAAGTCGTAGTAAGTCGAAGAAATGAAGAAATTCAACGGCAAATCACAATTTTATTTAATACTTATCAGGATATCCAAAAAAACTAGTGTGTCAATATTGCATATACAATGATTTTTAGAACAGATACTTCTCTCTCCTGTGAAAGAAAGACAACAGAAGTGCCTTTTTCTCTTCATATTGATCGTTATGCTAATTTGCCTATTTCTTTTTTTATAGATGTTCGACATTTTCCAGCATCACTTTATTGTGTTTTTATCATCTGTGTTTTTTATTATATTTCGGTATTTCCATTTATTGCTGCTGCTCAATTATTGTTTGAGTATGTAATATTGTTGTTATTTTTCATTTGCAACTTATCTTATAATTCATTCTTGTTGTCGTTGTTTTTCTTTAGATCAAAATATAATTTATCCCCCGCTTGGGTAAGTGTAATCATTGTGTATCTCAGCTTTTTATTTAAGAAAACAATTATTATTTCTTCGTTCTTTTAGGCCAATGCGTGTAATAGTTTAGTTTATTTTATGTCTGCCATCTTATCACCAATACTTGGTTATCTTGTTGATCGTACAGGAAGAAATATTTTTTGGTTAATTGGAAGCATAGCTGCAACAATCGTCTCACATATAATGTTAGCATTCTTGTTTATACATCCCGTTGTACCTTTGGTTATTATGGGTATTGCATATTCAATTTTGGCAGCATCACTATGGCCAATGGTTGCATTTTTAGTACCGAAACAAATGTTAGGCACTGGTAAGTGTCTCGCAAAAGCATAAACGTAAACTAGAAGTGTCGAAAAAGTGACTGCAAATCTGACTTTTAATTTTTTATCTGACTTTTTGTTTTTTACTATTATGAAGTCTGTATCAATATTTCGATATAAAGTATTCTTTTGTCTTATTCTTTCTAGCTTATGGTCTCATGCAATCAATTCAAAACTTGGGTTTGGCCGTTATGTAAGTATTTTTATTAAGAAAAATGCGACAAAAATTTTTATTGATAACATTTTTTGTTTTAATTTAGGAATATCTTTACTGGTAAAATTATCTTCGTCTTCTTATTTATATATCATTTATTTTGTTAATGATTTTCGTTTTCTAGGTCTCATTCTTGACGCTTATGGTTATTTCTTATTAGAAATATTTTTTATTATTTGTTTGGAAGTCGCCTTATTAGCTGCTGCATTTCTTTATATATGGAATTCAGTTAAAAAAGGTATACTGAATGATTCAACAGCTGAAAGAAAGCTAAAAGCAGCACAAGAAGAACAAGAAAAAATAGCAGTAGAAACATCAGTAGGAACAATAAAATCAGTTGTACTAAAACCAGAAGTAGACCATAGTAATGATCAAACCATTAATAGTTAATTTTAAACTAGTCTTTCACATTGTTTTTATTTTTATACTGATTAAAAAATTATTTATTTCTTTTTTAACTTTAAATATATTTCAGATTTTATTTGTGCAATAATTTGTGTAAATTTTATCCTATTTTTGTCTGATTTTTATGATAAATTTTTCTTTTCGTACGTTTTATATACATTTTATTTATTGTTATTTATATAGCAAATGTGATCTTGTTATTGTTTTCTATTTTTTACTTCTTGTTGATTTTAAAAAGAAGCTAGTGAATTATTTTTTATTTCCTTTGTGTACAAATTCACTTTTGATTATATTAATAGATTTTTTTTGTTATTAAAAACATAGTGAATGAGAGAATAAATCGTTAGAGAGGGCCAAACGACAACAAAGAATTTTCAATAAAAAAAAGGGATCATAATCGTGCAACGTTTTTGGTCATCACGTAGGAAAATTGGTCTTCGACAACTATATTTTTCTGAATGAATGAATATACATATTTTGAAAGGTTTAAGTCTGTAGAAAGAAATGTTGAATACATTCTGTTCTTCGAAGATCTCCATTGTGTATTACATTGTTCTGTACTAGATTGTCTCTTCTTCAAAAGAACCAAATACTTTTTTCTTTTTATAGAGTCTCAATAATTTTAGTACTGCGTCCTATTTGTATAATTGTTAAATAATATGTTTGAATGAGAGAATAGTTATAAAAAAGTTATAATAAAAAAATAAATGTATGATATTGTTCTAAATTAATTATCAATTAAATCGTTAGTTTACTGCACGGTTGTATCTGATGAGATTCTGTCGTTATAATGTATCGTTATTCTACTGTTGTTTTAATAGAAACTGACTCCACTTAGAATCACAGAATATATGAAAAATATTTGTCAAGATTGTTTGTTACTTTATCATTTTATATCACCACTTACCAATAAAATTATTCAACAACAACAATAACTAACAATAATATTCATTTTTGTATTAAGTCACCATCATGATTATTAATTTGATGATCAAGTATAAAAAAACATCCGACAATTGTATCTGTCGGAATTCTGTCCGTTATAATGCTCCATTTGGAATCATCGCGTATATGAATAGTTTCAATCATTAAAATAGTGAATATTTTTATTTCATTTTTATATTCATTTTAGTGAAGCATACATTCAAGAATCAATGTGCATGAATTTTCCTACTAGAATTGAATTTTACTTACTGCTACCATCAAGGACAGTCTATGTCAAATTGAATGTTATTTCAACATTTAATTTATTTAAAATTATTTGAACTTTAAGATACAATGATCGATCGAATGAATAAGTCATATTTTTATAGAATTTTTAATAGTGCTTCCAACACCTAATTGTAAAACATTTAAAATTTAGTTTAAATTTTTTCACTGTTTCAAAAACAACAATAATGAGATTTTAGAAGAATTGGATAAAACAATAATGATTAATTTTCAATTTTATAGTGGAACATTACGTCTATAATCATCAAATAAAAATTATATACTCAATGTAATTATTATAGAAGTGAGTTTGATTAAATACACGTACTTAACGCAAATAGACTTTGAGACTTTAAATTTTCAGAAATATAATTCTGATCCAAATTTGAGCTACACGATAAAAGCAAATGAAGCTAAATGGTAACTTTAAACAAGATAATTCTCATGGCAGAGGCAAAAAATAAAAATAAAATACAGCAATCATTGAATGATAACAACAAAATAAACAATATCCAATATTAAATCTTTCTCCTGTTGATGTGAACAATAACTTTTAGTCCAAAATCATTTTTAAATTAAGTTGACTAATATCAAAACGATAAGAATGTTTATCAGTCTTCCAACTTCTCGCATTTGACCACTAACATAAGAAACAAACATATTTATGTTTTAAAAATAATATTTGGATCGATACTTTTATCAGATCTTCCATCACAAATTTTTGATGATAAAAAAAAAAAAGACAAAGTTTTTCAGTGAAAATAGTGAATTAAGAATTATTTCAAAATTGATTATGATTTCAAATACTCTTGATCTTTTTCATGTGTAAAAATTGGTTCATACTTATCAGAGATTGAAATGAGAACTTGAACAAAGTCTTCTATTCTTTTCAACGGTAAGTTAGCAAAAGAATATAATGTACGTACATTCCGGTTATTAATTTACACAACTAATTAATTGAGTTTACCTCTTTTTCTTCTTTACATAATATTATTCTACAAGAAAAAAAGAAGAAAGAAAATTGACTTTTCCTATATCGGAAAAGAAATATTAGAAAATCTTGAAAATTTAGATATAGTCATCATATTAGACGTAGAATGAATAAAAAAAAAAGAAGAAAATTCTCACAGACATTTATCTTTCGCAAAATTTGTTTCGCATTTGTATATCATCCAAAGAAGGAGAAAAAATAACTCTCTCATAGTTAGCTTAGGAAAAAAAAGCGGAAAAAAAATCCTCGTTTGATCTTTATGATAAAACAAATATTATTGTTATAATGTAGATTGTAGCACGAAGTGTAAATCTCCATTTGTTCATATAGTAAGTTATACTATATCAGATTTTAATTTAATGTTTTGATGTATGTTCCCCAGAGAAAATTACTATTCATGATCATATGAACTAATTAATTTAAAATACTACAAACTCTCATATTTCAGAAAATTTATCTTCTCACATTGTCATCATAATTTCTTACGGAATGTTATGTATTATCAATCGTTCAATTTTCTGTGAAAATATCATCAATAATATGTAGATTGAAAAATGAATAGTATTAATTTTTTTTTTTTATTCTTTTTACCTTTTTACATACAAAAGTAATTAAATTTAATTTTTCAATATTTCTTGTCAAATTGCTTTTTAAAATTGATATTAAAGATAAATGTAAAATCGTTTATAGACGATATAAAATCTTGATCATCTTTTTCATACTACTTTAGTTTTTCTGTATTTATAAATTTTAACAAAATTTGTAAAATTGAATATGTGGCTATATACTGTTTAGTTTAAGAAAATATTATAAATTTAAATCCTAATGAAATCTAATATTTATAACTATTTTAATTTATAATTATAGTTTTATGTTATTTTCATAAATCTTGGTTAAAACGTTAATTCAATTATAGTCTCATTTAGTTCATTTTTTTGATGAACAATGTAAAAAAAATTAGACATAAGACAGAATAAGATTGTTACTACGATTTTCGTTTTAAAATAGATTGTACATTATTAAGAAGATTAAGATTGTTATTTCTTTTCTTTACAACGCTTCATATCGATTTTCTTAGGAAAAGTAAGAAAAATTTTTAACAACCTCGAATATGACAGAAATCTCTTTTAAGTATCTTATGGTATAGTTATGTAGAATCTGACTTCATATATATGAATGAAATTTTGTAATTCCAGAGTAGGATTTCTATGTGTTTTATAATGACAAATAATGACTATAGAATGACTATAGTGTTACTCCCAAATGAATAGAATAATTAAATTTTAAATATAATTAATCATTATATTATTTGTACTCTGTAATCAGTAGTAATTTTAACTTACAGTCTTTATTTTTGTCAAAACTTATTCTTCATTTTCGTAACCGATTAGTATAAAAGAAAAAACTTTGATTATATGTTGATTTTTTATATTTGTTTAGAATTAATACTAACAAACAAGAACAATAAAATGGTCGTGCACGTCGGAGGTTTAGTGGCAGTCATTATTTTCTATGTACTTATTTTATTAGTGGGAATATGGGCTGGTCGCAAACAAAAATCGAGTGAAAAAGCACCAGATACTGAAGAAATTATGCTGGCCGGAAGAAACATTGGATTGTTAGTGGGTATATTTACAATGACAGGTAATAGTATACATGGCTTACATTATCAAAACATTTTCATTTTTACACTTAATTCGTTCCTCTTGGCTTCTCAATTCACTTTCTGTCCATTATTAATTGGTAATAAAGTCAAAATTTTTCATTATTTTTTTTCTAATTAGCCACGTGGGTTGGTGGCGCATATATCAACGGTACTGCTGAAATGGTATTTTCAGCGGGATTGTTGTCAACACAAGCGCCATTGGGTTACGCGATTAGTTTGATATGTGGAGGATTACTGTTTGCACGACGAATGCGGAGTGCCGGCTACGTTACAATGTTAGATCCATTTCAGCGAAAATATGGAGGTAGAATGGGTGGTTTACTTTTTATTCCTGCCTTGATGGGAGAAGTATTTTGGTCGGCAGCGATTCTGTCAGCATTAGGTGCCACTATTAGTGTTATATTCACGGATGTTTCACAAACAGCCTCAGTTCTCATCTCAGCTGCCGTTGTTGTATTTTACACATTATTCGGTGGATTATATTCAGTGGCTTATACGGATGTTGTACAATTATTTTTTATTTTTGCTGGATTGGTAGGTTATAATTCAGTCAACTTACGAGGGAAGGCCACCAACTGCCCCATCGCTTTTGGCTTAAAACCTAGTGGACAATAGGTAATCGACCATGCTAATGCCGAATACGATAGCCGTTTTCCCCCGCAGGCGTTTTTTAGTCGGTCTCTGGAAAACCAGTTTTCCAGAGACCGACTAAAAAACGC